CTCTTTCTCTCACTTCCTGCAAGGTTGGTGAACTATTTCCAGCTGCATAGCTAGTTACCTTGTTGAGCCACCCTTATTGGCGTAGGTTTGTGTGTGCTGGCCACAATCCAGGACACTCTCTTGCATCTGAACCAACTGTGCCTGAGATTGTGGTGGGACTGAGAGACGGGCTTCTCCAGATTATCTCAGAGCCCAGGCCATGCAGGGAGATACGGTCTGCCAAATAGCCTGGACCCGAGCAGGAACATTCCACATGCTTTCCCCAAGATATTAGTTGAAACCCAGTGGATCACCAGAAAGCAGACAGCAGATAAATACAGGATATTTTGATTATATGCCATAAATTGTGGGGAATACTTGCACAAGTTACTGCAAGGAAGATTTTGCTAATCAGACCTTTGGTAGTCTAGTTCCTGCCTCTTAGAATTACAACTGAGAGAGAGAGAGAGTCATTGAATTAAGAAATGCAAAGTTTTTCTGGTCCACATTCCTTGATTTAAATCTCATCTTCTGCTGCATCATACGTCCTACATCAAAATGATATATACCACTTCTTTATCTCTTGTCTATCCTGAGCATGTATTGAAAGATGGCATACAAGCTGAGTTATAATAGCTTGTCCAAGGCCAGACAGTGAGCCTAGTGGGGTGGGGAGTGGGTGTGTGGCCCATGAACCATCTGCACTCCCCTCTAGTAAACTGATCACTTTCTGTGTAGGGAAAAAAAGACCTGTACAGGCCTGAAAAAGATTAGAGAGATGCTGAACACATCTCAAAATGTGACAGAAGGTCCAGTAACAACTCTGTCAGAGGAGTGGTGGTGGTAGGATATGTGACAGTTCATTCTTGCTGCACTCAGGCTATCAAGGAGTTTATCACATGAGGACCATATGTACCTCAATCGTGATATTGATTAAAGCAGCCCGCAAAAGCATGTAATACACAACCGATTTTCACACGCAGAACACAATAACATGTTAGAAGCTCATTACTCAAGTGAAAAAGAGGGTAGAATGCACATTTGGTTTTCACACAGGTGTGTGTAAAACCCGATAATGGTTTGGGAATCACTTTTTTTGTGCGTGTGCATAAAAGAAGTAGTTGTGTCACCAGAAATCACCCAGAGAAATAAACAATTTTATTTATATAATTTACTTTATAAAAATATACTATACTGTCCCTTACTTTGCAAGAAATTTGTATCCAACCTAAGTAAAGCATTACCCAAAGAAGTAGGACAGGTAGAAAAACAGCATAAAACAGCATAAAAGGCTGCATTCCTCTTGGCAACCAGTGTCCCTGCCTTCCTGAGCAGCTGTTCCTTTAAAAGTCCCAGCTAATGGGGAACGATGAGGGAGAAGAGATTCACAGACTAGGGAGAAGCAAAGTTGCTTT